CCACCCTATCACACCTCTTCTCTCCCCTCCTGTTGGCTCCTGCCCTGGGACTCCAGGAGTTCTCTGCTGGCACCCACAGTTGCCTGCTGTCTGCTCCCATGGCCCCTGACCCTCACCCCCCTGTGCTGTGGGAGAGGGTGTTGTCCTGCTCTCCTGTACAGCAGGAGGATGCAGCCATGGACCCTCTGTGTGGCCTGGCTCTGTGGCCTCTCTTGCATCTGCCTCCTAGTCCATCCGGTGAGGTTTACCTGGTCCTAGACTCACAGAGGAGCTGGGGCTCAGCACACACAATGTGCCCAACAGCTGCTCACAAGCCTTTTCTTTTATTGTACCGTTTCCTCTCTTATTTACATTTAAGGTTTAATAGATCTGGCATTTACTTTAAAACACAGTGTGAGGAGTGACTTCATGTTTTTTCAGTGGATTAACTAGTTGTCCCAACCAGGTTTGTTGAATAACTGATTTCTCTCCCAGTTCGTGGTGCTTGAGGTGGCACCATCACTGAGGTGTGCCCTCTGGTCCACACCCCATGGGCCCCCATTCCAGGGCTTCTGTTCAGTCCCATGATCACAGCCCTGCAGTGGCCTCCCTCCAGGGGTAGCCCAGGGCCAGGCACTGAGATGCCTTCCCAGTGGCCTGGATGTTTCCCAGTGCCTCTCATGCCCATTCCCTTCTCCCCCGACCCCCTCCAGCTGCACCTGTTGCCTCCCCTGAAGCTCAGGACAGCCTGGCCCAGCCCTGTGCTCCTCTCCCTCATTGTCAACAGGCTCCTGAACCTCTTGCCTCAAATCAGGCCCCCAGCATGCATCTGGATCTCAGCTGCTCTCCTGGGCACCGAACACCTGGTGCCAGCTGCCTTCTGGGCATCTCCCATTTGCCCCTCAACTCCACTCCAGGGGTCCTGATGCACTTGTACAAGTGCACACTCACCCAGACAGGTACAAGTACTCATGTGCATGCCCACATTAGTGCAAACACTGTCACGGTTACACTAAAAGTATATTTTACGTAGAAGAACCTCAGACACAAAGATGTATCCAAAGTCACACAGCTAATGAGTGGCAGAACTCAGGTCTCTGGTACTTTTAGCTCTGTTCTGGGTGTTTTTAATAACAAGTTTACAAAAATATAGATTCCTTGGGGTTGATTAATGATTGTGCATTGAGTCCCCTATACAGAATTTTATTGTTGTTAACAACCATTTGATCAATAAATATGAGAGATGCCCTCTCAAAAAAAAATATAGAGAGAGAGAGAGATTCCAAATATAAGGGGCACACAGTGGGAGAATCCATATTATGCATCAGTCCAGGGCCTGAAAGCATAGGTGCTAAATAAGCAATGACTGCTACTAATTATTAATTGTCAGTTAATAAGTATTGTTCTCACTGTCCACCATGGGCTTGGATCAGAGGCTTGCCTTTGGCGCCCCCCGCTGGCCTTTGAGTGCAAGTCTTGAGGTGCGGGCGGCGTGGGGTGGGGCGCTTTCCCCGGATGTCTCTCCCTCCAGGCAGCGCTCCTCTCTCATTCCGCAGGGTGGTGAGAGGAAAAGGCTGCAGCTCTGCTGGAGTGGGGGCCGTCCCCTGCCTGAACGCACACGCGTTCTTGTGCACCTGGCTCACCTGTGGACGCCAGTCTCGTACCTGAAGTGACACCCATACATCGTAAGATGCACAGCATCAGAACTATGATGACCTCTTGGTTCCCTGTGTAGATGGGAACAGGCCCCGAAAGAGGACACACTGCCCAGCCACAGCGTTTGTTGACAGGGCACTGGCCAGGTGTCAGGGCAGCAGGGAGAACGGCACTGTAATAATATTAGTATAATAAAATAGAATCGTTTAATAATAGTATAATATATACTATAATATATAGTATAATATATATAACATAATATAGTATAATATAATAGTATAATAAAATATAAAATAATAGTATAATAAAATTATAATAATCGTCAAGCCAGATTAGGTTCGTAATAACAAAAGTTATAATAATCCTCAAGCCAGAGGAAGTTCCCAATGCATAAAGCCTTTAGGGGCGATAAGACACATGTTTGAAAGCCACGAACAAAGGCTGCACCACCAGGCCAGTCCCAATGAAGGGCCTTGCCCAGAACCTTGGCATCTGGGGTGAGGGGAGATGGGTATCTCCAAAGACAGACAGGATAAGTGTCAGGACAGATAGGACACATGCTTGTGCAGAGCCTAGGGGGACTGGGTGCCAGCGGTCAGGGTCTCATGGAGGCAGCTCTGGAGCTGAGAGCAGATGTTTCAGCAGGACTGGCAGGGAGGAGGGTGTGAGGCCTCCATTGGAGAGGAGAAGCACAGCAAAGCCCTGCTGGAAGAAGGCGAGGGGTTAACACTGTGGTAACCTGAGCTCCCTTCTCTGAAGTCCCATCTGAAGACCCAGGTGGTAATTGCTGCCACTGGGAGGGTTGACTCCAGCAGCTCCACCAGTGTTAGGTCCTGGAGCCCTGCCTTAGGATGGGTAAGGTGCCCACTTACAGGTGACGGCTAAGCACAGGGGTTTAGTAACCTGCCTAGGCCCTACAGTGTCTGACAAAGGCAGGATTTGAATTGGGCAGCTGCCCAAAATCCACACCCTTTTTTCCCCAAATGTGGTAAAACATACCATTTTAAGCATTTTTAAGGCTACAGTTCAGTGGTATTAAGAACATTCACATTGTTGTGCAACCATCACCACTAGCCATTTCCAGAACTTTCATCTTCCCTAACTGAAATTCTGTCCCCATTAAACATCAGCTCCCCATTCCCCCCACAGCTACTTGCACACACTGCTGTACTCTGTCCCTAAGAATTTGCCTATTCTAGGTACCTCATCAAAGTGGAATCATACATTGTCTTCCCTTTTGAGTCTGGCTTGTTTTATTCAGCATAATATCCTCAAGGTTCATCCATGTTATAGGTGGTATCATATTTCCTCTCATTATTAAAGGCTGTATAATATTCCATTGTCTGAATATGCCACACTTTGTTTATCCATTCATCTGCTGATGGACACTTAACATTGCTTCCACCTTTGACAATTGTGATTAATGCTGCTACGACATAGCTGTGCAAATAGTTGTTCAACTCCCTGCTTTAAAAAAATCCATGCTCTCAGCACCATGCAGAATTGGTTCTCATACACCTCAGGGAGTCGCTGTGGGAGGGTAGGGAGGTGAAGATGCTGGGCAAGAGGTAGTGCAAGGGAGTTGCTGCAGGCTGACCAGGGGGAGGGGTGTAAGCCCCTGGGGAATAGGTGTGGGGCCTCCCAGACACCTTCCGTGCCACAGCAGCCACGGCCAGACAGGGGTAGGGGCCTGGCACACTTGCAGAAGCCTGTGTTCCTCTTCATTCCTGCTAGACTGGTCTCCACACAGTGGGCTGGGCCAGGAGCCAGGCCAGGTGGGAGCCAGCTGACCAACACCTATTGCTAAGCAGAGGAGTGGGCTATTGAAAACAACTGTTACTTTAAAACAAAGGGAGGGTGGATCACCTCCCAAACCAAGGAAAATGCACATGGTCATGCAACTAACCGCCAACTGCACTCACTAGTTCTTTGAGACAGGGGAGCACTTACCTAACAAGAGACAGTCAGAGCAAATGAAAATGTGCCAGTCCTGGGTGAACACATGTCTGGCCTCGCTCCACTCCCCTGACACCTTCAGCCTAAACAAACAAACAAACAAACAAATAAACAAACAAACAAACATTCTGGCCATGTTAAAAATTCACTAGCTCCAGAGATCTGTAAAAACTTAACAAATGATGATATGAAAGAACAGAATAGATTAAATCTAACTAATTTCTACAGGAAGATTTGAACCCATACCCACTAGAGAATATGTCATTGTCCAGCTCATGCAGAGTATTTAGAAACACAGACATTGCTGGATAAGCAAAGAAACCTCAACACCTTTCACAAATCACATTCTCTCATCAGGTTACAGTAAAATTAGAAACAAGAAGACAATTTTGGAAACAAAATGAATTTCCACAGTGGAAATTATGTTTGGAACTCAGTGACAATAAAGTATTCATATAAAAATTATGGAATTAAACAAAATTGGTATTTAGAAGGAAATTTATATCCTCAAATGTGTGTGTAATAAAAAGGCTAAAAGGGGCAAAGGAGAAAGCTGATGGCAACGTGAGTTAAAGAGAAAATAAATACTAAAGTGAAAAACTCTTTAGAAACAGGTCACAATAAGAACACAACCTATCAAAGCCTAGGTGATGTGTCCAAAGAAGTATTCAGGGGAAATTGTACAGTCTTTGGTAAATAAGCATATACTTAAATATAAGAAAGACATAACTAAGCAAATAATACAAGAAGCTTTTTTAAAAGGAAGACCTAATACACTAATTTAATTTAAAAACAAATTAATATTTGAAAACAATGTTACTTTAAAATAATGAAAATAAGACTTGACAAATAAAATCCAAAGTTCTTTGAAAGCAAACTTCTGGGAAGTCAAACAAAAGAAAAAAAGGGAAAATGTACAAGTTTGAGGTTAAGAAGGTGACATGACTACAGATAAAAACCACTACAGTTTTAAACCACAAGAAAAGAGTAGGCATAGCTTCATTCTGGTTGATTTGGTTTTATCTGAAAGAAACCGAAGATTTTCTTGGGTTTTCTTGGAAAATACAAATAACCAACATTGGCTTAATAGGAAGTAGAAAAGAACAAAATTTGAAAGAAAACCTGAAAAGAATAAACACAGAACTAACCAGGTAACAAAGGTATTAGAGGGGCTCCATCAACTTCCAGGGACGGGATTGTCACCAAAGCCACAGAGAAAATGGCAAACTCCCCAGGCCTTACTACAAGATCAACAAATGGAACACGGATCACTCACACACACACACACACACACACACACACACACACACCCATTAGGATTCAACTACTTGTATTGAAGATTCTACCCTGAGTCATGCCCCACTATAATTTTTTAATTGTAATTAGAGAATATTTAGATGCAATAAACTGTATCTATTTAAGGTGTACAAATTGAAGAATTTTAAATTCATAAGAAAATAACAGTGCATACTGCATGGTTCTATTTGTTGCAAAACTCCAGAAGTACAATGTTTTGACTGCTGTTATATGATTATTAAAAATTTAATCCCCCTACCTCTGTGTCCTTAGTTTTGAAAAGAATGTGAAATAATAAACTTAACTTCTAAAAGGTGTTGTAACTAAAAATGAAATCTGTAGAAATACACTGAGTCCAAAGAAAAAATTCAAGGATAAATTGATGTGTATGCATATTTGTATACATTTTTCTTCAACTAAACACACGCACATATATGCCCAGGAACACAGACTCCCTTATAATCATATGTATTATGGTGAAGTAAGCCTTTATGAAAAGCTAGAGAATAAAAAGAAATAACAAATGTTTGAACCAAAATGAAATTCAAGGAATGTAGAAATTTAGACACAAAGTTTTAAAGCGTTGGCGGACATCTGAGGCTGCTGTGTACAGGTGGGCGGCGAGAGGCTGAGGCGAGAGGCGACGGAGTGGGTGTCGGTAGGCAGAGGGGGGCGGCTTCCGTGGTGGTGGCAGTGGCCAGGGGCGGTGTCAGGGGGATGCCAGCGTGGGAGGCGTCGGCTTCGGCGGCTGCGAACGTCCCGGGCTGCCATGCGCACAAGTGCAGCAAGAGGTGGCGGCGAGAGGCGGAGGGAGCGGGCAGCGGCGGCGTCAGCCCGGTGGGGGACAGCGTCGATGGCTTGCGGTGGCTTCGGGGGTGGCGGTGTCGCTGGGGGACGGGAGTTGGTGGCGGTGAGCGGCAGTTGGCGGCGGCGGCGCGCGCTGTCCGTCGTTGCGGGGAGGGGGCAGCGACCTAAGGGGCGGGGTCCGCCCGCAACCGACGCTGCGCGCCATCCCCCGGCCAGCCAACTCCACCCGCTTTCGGTGCCCAACACGCCCTCCTTCCAACAAATCGCAGCCACCCGCCGCAGAGGACGCTTCCCGCCTGTCCTCCCTCCCCCGCCTGTTCCTCCCGCTGACACCGCCCGGGAGCAGTGCCGACACCGCCGCCCGGGAAGGCCGGCATCCGCTGACGACGCCCACGGCCAGCGCCCTCCAACACCAACCGCCCGCCCGCGGCCTTCTACCGCAGCCTCCTCCCGCCGGCTTCAGGGCCCCCGCGCCAGGCACCCGGTGCCCCCGTCCTCACTCAGGCCTCGCCTCCTCGCAGCAGCAGCTCATAGTAAGTAGCCAGCCCCAGGGGCGGGCGGCGTCGGGGGACGGAGAGGGAGCGAGCGGGGAAGTCGTCTCCTGCCGGAGGCCGCAGGGAGGCTGCGGCGGTGTCTGTGGGTGGGGCCGCAGTCCCAGCCCGCCGTCTGCAGGTGCGCCGTGAGAGGAGGCAGAGGCGGCGGCGGGCTGCGGCGTCTGCGGTGAGGGGCAGCCTCGACGGGCTGCGGTCCATCGTGGGCCGTGACGTCCGTCGCGATGGGAGGCTGTGTCTGCTGTCCGGGCGGACCTCCGAGGCTGCCTTCTGCAGGTGCGCGTGCCAGGGAAAGCGGCGGGGGGCTTGGCGGGCGTCGGCTTCGGCAGTGGTGGGCGGTGTTGGGCTGCTATAGGTGGCTGACCGAGGCGTCTGTCCCGGCGAGAGGCGGTGGCGGCAGGAGCAGTGGGCAGAGGCGGTGTCGCTGCGGGAAGGGAGCGGGTGAGGTGAGCCGCAGGCGGTGGCGGCGGCGGGCAGTGCCGGTAGTGAGCGGAACAGCGCCCTAAGGGTGTCCTCGGCCTGCAACCTCAGCTGCTGACGCCGCCCGGCTCCGCGCCGCAGGCCCAGATACCAGACACCAACCCACTCGCCCCAGAGCCCGTCTTTCCCTGTCCTCGCCCGCAGATGCCTCCCGCTGACCCCGGCCCGGACGCCTGCCAACACCGCTACCTGCCATTGCCTTCTCCCGCTGACACCGACGTCGCTGCCTTCTGCTGCCAGACGCCCAATGCCTCCTACCCCAGACTTATGCCGCCGCCAACAGGGACCCTCCTTGCCGGGGACCGGGCTCCCTCGTTCCCACGCAGGCCTAGCCGCCCTGCAGCAGCCTCAGCTCATAGGAAGTAGCTGCCCCCACGTTGGCTTTTTCATCAGAGAGTTTGGGGGTGGTGCGTGGGCCCTGGGAGGAAAGTCAAAAGTTATGGGTGGGCGTTGGAAAGCTATGAGAGGGGCACGCACTTACCCAGCCAGGAAGGTGACCTGATCTCAGCCAGGAGCTCCCCAGGCGCACCAGCTTCTCTGACTGCAGGTAATGCTTTGAGTGTCAGGTCCCGGGGCACGCAAGCAAGGGCACTGCGAGGATGCTTTCGCTGGGGAGGGGGTTCCTCCTGTGCTCCCAGGCTGGTCAGCACAGGAGTCCAGGGGGTGTATAAGTTCTTAAAGAGAGGCTTGACTTGTCTAATGTTTGGTAAAAGTTTTGTGAGTAATCTAGCATAGTTATTGGGAACGAGTAAACAAGTGTAGCAAGTAAACATCTTAATAATTGTGTTACAGCATATTACAGTGTGTATACCTACTAACAGCCTGTGTATACCTACAAACAGCAGGTTGTGGTAACCTAAAACCTGCAAGTTTTGCTAAGTAGACATATTTTATACTTAGAGATTGTGCTCTAAAGCACACAGTTCCAGTAATTATAAAATGTGTTCATAAATTTGTCAATCTAAAGAATGCTAGTATAACAGTTTGCAATAGCCTACTTTTCAGTGTTCACTGAAAATTAAAGTTCCTAATGGTTTTAAGTTCTAATTAAAACTACTTGAAGTAATAAGGAAAACATTTCTGCATGATAAGAATGTGTATTTTTTTTTATTTTTAATGTTGATATCATTAATGTACAATTACTTGAAGATCATTCTGGTTACTAGACTCCCCCTATTATCAAGTCCCCACCACATACCCCATTAGTCACTGTCCATCACCGTAGTAAGATTCTATAGAATCATTACTTGTCTTCTCTGTGTTATACTGCCTTCCCTGTGTCCCCCCACCACATTATACATGCTAATCATAATGCCCTTTTTCCCCCCTTATCCCTCCCTTCCCACCCATCCTCCACAGTCCGTTAGTCCATTCTTGGGTTCTGTGAGTCTGCTGCTGTTTTGTTCGTTCAGTTTTTTCTTTCTTCTTATACTGCACAGACTAGTGAAATCATTTGATACTTGTCTTTCTCTGCCTGCCCTATTTCCCTGAGCATAATACCCTCTCCCTCCATCCATGTTTTTGAAAATGGTAGTATTTGTTTTTCTCTTACGGCTGAATAATATTCCACTGTGTATATGTACTGCATCTTCTTTATCCATTCATCTACTTCTACTGATGGATACTTACATTGCTTCCATTTCTTGGCTATTGTAAATAGTGCTGCGATAAACATAGGGGTGCATATGTCTTTTTCAAACTGGGCTGCTACATTCTTAGGGTAAATTCCTAGGAGTGGAATTCCTGGGTCAAATGGTATTTCTATTTTGAGTTTTTTGAGGAACCTCCATTTTGCATTCCCACCAGAAGTGTAGGAGGGCTCCCATTTCTCCACATCCTCGCCAACATTTGCTATAGTTTGTCGTTTGGATGTTGGCCATCCTAACTGGTGTGAGGTGATATCCCATTGTGGTTTTAATTTGCATTTCTCTGATGATTAGTGATGTGGAGTATCTTTTCATGTGCCTGTTGGCCATCTGAATTTCTTCTTTGGAGAAGTGTCTGTTCAGCTCCTCTGCCCATTTTTTAATTGGCTTATTTGCTTTTTGTTTGTTTAGGGGTGTGAGCTCTTTATATAATTTGGATGTCAACCCCTTATCGGATATGTCATTTATGAATATATTTTCCCATACTGTAGGATGTCTTTTTGTTCTACTGATGGTGTCCTTTGCTATACTGAAGCTTTTTAGTTTGATGTAGTCCCATTTATTCATTTTTGCTTTTGTTTCCCTTTCCTGGGGAGATATATTCATGAAGAAGTTGTTCATGTTTATGTCCAAAAGATTTTTGCCTATGTTTTTTTCTAAGAGTTTTATGGTTTCATGACTTATATTCAGGTCTTTCATCCATTTTGAGTTTACTTTTGTGTATGGGGTAAACAATAATCCAGTTTCATTCTCTTGCATGTAGCTTTTCACTTTTGCCAACACCAGTTATTGAAGAGGCTGTCATTTCCCCATTGTATGTCCATGACTCCTTTATCATATATTAATTGACCATGTATGGTTGGATTTATGTGTGGGCTCTCTAGTCTGTTCCATTGGTCTAGGGTCTGTTCTTATGCCAGTACCAAATTGTCTTGATTGCTGTGCTTTGTAGTAGAGCTTGAAGTCAGGGAGTAATCCCCCCAGCTTTATTCTTCCTTCTCAGGATTGCTTTGGCTATTCAGGGTCTTTTGTGATTCCATATGAATTTTAGAATGATTTTCTCTAGTTCATTGAAGAATGCTGTTGGTATTTTGATAGGCATTGTATTGAATCTGTAGATTGCCTTAGGCAGGATGGCCATTTTGACAATATGAATTCTTCCTAGCCAAGAGCATGGGATGAATTTCCATTTACTAGTGTCCTTTTTAATTTCTCTTAAGAGTGTCTTGTAGTTCTCAGGGTATAGGTTTTTCACTTCCTTGGTTAGGTTTATTCCTAGGTATTTTATTCTTTTTGAAGCAATTGTGAATGAAATTGTTTTCCTGATCTCTCTTTCTGCTAGTTCATCATTATTGTGTAGGAATGCAACAGATTTCTCTGTATTAATTTTGTATCCTGCAACTTTGTTAAATTTAGATATTAGTTCTAGTAGTTTAGAGTGGATTTTTAAAGGATTTTTTATGTACAATATCATGTCATCTGCAAACAGGGACAGTGTAAATTGTTCTTTACCAATCTGGATGCCTTGTATTTCTTTGTGTTGTCTGATGGTCGTGTGTGCTGTTTTCTTGACTCTTTCTTTCCTGTCCACTACTTTTCAGAGCTTTCCTCAGTTTCACTTGTCTGCTCCTAATTATTTCTAATTTGATTTTCCTTCTGCATTTGTTGTTCATCTGTAATTCCTGTATTTAGGAGGTTAGCTGTAGTTATTGCAAGTTATTGCACTTCTGCAAAAAGCCAGGCTTGGTATTGGTGCATTCTGTAATCACCTGTAATCCTTACAATGGTCTTGACCTAGAGTTGTTCATCCTTGTTTTCCTGATGAGAAAAGTGTCAACTTACCATGGTCAGGATGCTAAAATAATGAAGGTATTTATTTGGGACCAAAGAAATGCAACTCATGGCCCACAGATTTGTATAGCAACCCAAATAGTGTTCACTAGGTGATAGGGAAATATTTACAAGGAAAGCACTTTATTCCAGGTGGCTCCCTTCTCTTCTATAGTTAGCAAAGATAGCAGAATCCGTTTTCCCCCTCTCCTTCACTCTGGGCTCTGACAGGCACTTACTCCCTAAACTCACTCCCTTACCTCACTCCCCCTTCCTTGCTAGTTTACTCTGCATGTAGAAATGTTGCAGATATGGAAGCAGAAAGATATATATTGCTCCCCTTGCCTTTGTTCAGGGCTCAGACCTTGGGAGACTACTCCCCTCTGAGCCCGCAGGTATAAAATAAAACCTCAGCACTCCAAGACCTCCAAGTGCCATTTAGTTCTTCCATCTGTAATCCAGTCCAGGTTTTTCAGGTTTTTCCATAACATAGGAAGCAGATGTCAGGGGTTCTTAGAGATGGAAAGTCCATGCTTGTATACATGGTTTACAAAGACTCTTGACTGACTTAGGTGGCAGAAAACAGTTGGCTGAACACAGTTAGATTCTAAGGCCCTGACTCAGCCACAGGCCCCTCCTGGAGCACGGTGCAGGTGTTGGGGCAGAGTCCTCAGCACATGTGGGGTTTGTCCCATTTCTAACGTCCCAGGTTGCACCCAGTGGAGATGTGTGTGAGGTCCACCTCCGTCATGACTTCCCACTTCATTTACAAACCCTTGACATCAGTGACTCCATTGTTCATAGCGCCTTTCACAGAACCAAGTGTGAGGAGCTCCCTGAAGTTATCTGAGGCTCCAAATAGATGTGTGTGTTTTATTTTGGATCTCCCACTTTTCTTGGTTGACAGTATTGCACATCCATCTGATTATAGCAGGAAAGGGGATTATTAGAAATCTTTTTCCTCACATCTTGCTATACTGAACTCTATATATCAGAGTAGATTTTGGCAACTTAAGCTGGCATAGGGGTCACTCTCCTTGAGTCACTTGAGTTCGGTCTGAATCATTGTTCCTCTTGATTTCTTTAAGATGGTGGATTGGATCAAAGTCATAAACCCTAATATCTTCCATGATGGGTTTTCTATGACTGCTATAGGAGCTAAGAACTGACCTCTTTTTAAGTGCATTCTGTTTTAATAGCAGTATTGTTGTCACATGGAATATTATGTTAGTTTGAGGAGTTGAATGTAGTTATTTGCGATTATACACATGACAAAATGCTCCCCACAGCAAGCATGGGCCATATGCCATCCTACAGTGTGATACAATATTTTTTACTCTATTCTGTATGCTGTACTTTCATCTACATGACTTTTATCTTCTAGTGCCAGGTGTGCACCTCTACCCCTTTCACCTATTTCACCTATCCTCCAACCCATCCCCAATTGCAAACACCAGTTTCTACTCTTTATTTACGAGTCTGTTTCTGTTTTGTTTACTTGTTCACTTGTTTTAAGTTTCAAGATGCCTCTTATAAAAAGGAAAATCAGTGACCACACCTCCATCTTCATGAGCCCACCTGATGGCCACCCCTACAGCAAATCTGAGTCCTCCTTGCCTCCGCCGACAGCAAGCAACTAAAACCCCTTACTGGGTGCCCTTCCTATCCTAATCTTCACCCTCCCGACAGTCAGGCAAGCAGGGGGACCCAAATAACCACACCGTTCCTCACAAGCAGGAAGCAGAGTGGTCGTCGCCCCTCACCCCAATGATTTGGGTCCCAACTGCTTGAGGGAAGAATGTTAGGCAGGAAAATAAGATATGAGCTCGGTGGAAAGAGAAAGGCCAGGGAAGTTCACTAAAAACACCCAGAGTTAATCAATTAAAGCTCAAAAAGCCAGGAGCAACTTGGCCTGGAATGTTTGAATATTCCCCCGATAAAGGAGGGTACCTCAGCATAGCTCATGTCTTTATTATATTAACCATACAGGCCCAGCTAAATTTTTTTACCTTTACCTATATGCTGGCATCTTTTCTCCTTCTGGCCCTAATTAAGTAGTTTGTAACATTGGCAACTAATTTAGCATGCAGGCCCAGCTATAAACAACATAGTAAAAGGCAGGAAGGATTCTATCTTAAAGATTGTATTTTAATACCCAGGAAGTTAAAAATGTAAGATTCTTAACTTACTCTTTAGCAAACAGACAATAACTTAGCCCACCTTGGGGGCAGGGCAGGCAGCCTGTCTGATATGCTCCCAGACCAGGACTCTGGAGAAATCAGAGCAGGAAGTTCCTTGTGTTAAGTAAATTCTAAGTATTCAAAGACCACCTAACAGGTCTGCACCACCAGGCCTTAGACACATCCCTGAAGAATCCTTAGAAGGGGGAACCCCCAATCTTTTGGGGCACTCCTCTCTCTGAGGTCACCCACACTTTCTAAGTGTGTAACCTTTTAATCTTAAACTTTCTCTCTCCAACCTTTCAGGGTGCCTCTCCTCGTGATTTTCACAAAATTCATTCGTTAATCTTAGCTTGTAGATATCAAAGTGGCTACTAAGCATTATTGTTTTATTTTCTGTGATGCCAAAAGTTCGAATTTA